CCTTCTTTCCTTCCTTCCTATTCCATTCCATTCCATTCCATTCCATTCCATTCCATTCCATTCCATATGTCTCTTTGCATCAGTGTTGAGTAAATAGTAACTAAGTGTTGACTCCTGGTGACTGCCTGGACTAGTCCCTGCAGTTTTCTTGACAGCGTTTTCAGAAGTGGTTTGCCATTGCCTCCTTCCTAGGGCTGAGAGAGGGGGACTGGCCCAAGGTCACCCAGCTGGCTTCGTGCCTAAGGTAAGACTAAAATTCAGTCTCCCAGTTTCTAGCCTGGTACCTTAACCACTACACCAAACTGACTCTCAATACAATTACTGCTATTATATCACCCTATTGAAACTGACATGTGTAGCCTTCAGTAAAAGCTGAGTATTAAAGACAGCCAGTTTAGTGTAGCCAGCTGAGTGACCTTGGGCCAGTCACTCTCTTTCAGCCCTAGGAAGGAGGCAATGGCAGACCACTTCTGAAAAAGCTTCAGGGACTCATCCAGGTAGTCACCAGGAGTCAACACTGACTTACTCAACACTGATACAAAGACACACAAAAAAGAAAAAGATAAAGAGAGGAGAGGAGAGAGGAGAGAAGAGAGAAGAGGAAAAGTTATTAGAATATAACCCTGCTCAGTTCACAGCTTTGCTGTTATATGCCTAGGAGCAAGGAATTCCACATACCCATCGATTAACGGGGATGCCTTCATGAGGTCAAGAACTTCGGCTGTCAAGGATTCAGCAGCAGCTCTGGAACCCAAAATGTCAGCCAGCAGGATCAGTAGCCCCAGAATCATCACCATCATTGGATCCCAAGGTGGTCTACCAGCTGGTCAGCTGAATGAGATGACTCCAATGTTTTTTCTTGGATAAAAAGGAGCTCTGGTTTCTCCCAAGCTCAGGGAGACTCTGCAGCAAAGGGTTTCAAACACAGTGAAAAGAGGTAATCTATCAGTCTTTACACAATCTGCCTACTGCTGAAAAAGGAAGAAAAAGAGAAATAAACAAGGATACAGTCATGCTGTGGCTCTATGAAATCAATATATGCTGCTCTCAAGCTTTTTAACACAGACAGGTCATATCCAAAATTACATTTCATGGAAATTACTGGGAATCTGTCCCACACAGAAAATACGCACTCACATCTCTTTGAAACTTTGCCAGAATCTTACTGAAGGATTTTTCTCTAGGCAGGACTAATACTTACGACATACAAAACCTATAGGCAGTCGATTCATCACATTGTAATTTTCATACATTTGAAGCCAAAATTGGTCACGTTCAGGAAGGGAGAACTGAGGTCCAACTTCTTTGAATGCCTTTTCCAATCCTGCCCACAGATACGTGTATGAAGATCAGGGCTAAAAAAAGCATTTGCTGAGAAAAAGAGATGCCAACAAATGTTCTTTCTTCTAAAAAAAAATTGCAACACTTTCCTCTGTTTGCAGTACAAAGACAATGAAAGAAGTTTTCTTGGGTTTTTCTTTTTGTCATGAAAACTACTGCCTGAGTCCCATTTCATTGCTATTATTTATAAAGTTCATTTGAAACTTTAATTGAAAGGGGGAACCCTTGGCTCTCTAACTGTTATGAAGGCACAATATTCCATCAGCGTGGTGAAGGATTTGGAGAGTTGCTGTTAATATGAAATATATAGTGGCAACATGATACCTTCATTCTTTATTCTGTTCTCAGAATGGATCTTTCTATTACCAGCTGACAAGAAAGGAGGGCAAAGGAAGGAGAATAATACAGACTAAACTATCAACTGGCACTACTTAGAGGTGATCGACTGAAACAAGTTATAGAAAAGTCTATCTGTCATGATTGCATGGCCTGAACTAATAAACATGTGTTGGTTTATTTGAGAAAGGAACTGAGACAATCAAAACAAGGAGGAAAAGTACAAGGAAGGAAGGGAGGAAATAAAATATCATCATCATCATCCTGCAACAATACTTTTAACACCATCAAACAACATCTGCCTATCCCAGGTCCTTGGGAAGGACTTGGTAGATGGATAAAAATGCCAGATCCAGTCTAAACATCTGGCTGACTGTCCAACCAACAACAATAAAATGTGAACGTTGGGAAAAGACTGAGCAATTTCCTGTTTAGGTTGTACCCAGCACATTCACAGTGAACCCCTATATCCAGATCAGAGCAAATATCCACATGCCACTCAGTTCAGCTAGCAAAAATCATAGCTTGATGTTTATTAAACATCACCAAACATCCAAATCCAGTTAACTGGTAAAATGGGTTGAAAGTCTAGCAAAAGCAGGGAGAAGACAACATGATCTGTATGTCTCCGTATCTGCATCAAAAGGCACAGAAATTTTCCAAGCCACCAGAAACCAGACCATGGGTCATTAGCACAGATAGTCCCAAAGGGTATGGGCTTTGGAGTCCTTGGGGTTCTCTGAGCTTGGTTGCTAGCACTGAAGATGTTCCCTAGCCAGGTAATGGAACGTTTGCAAGAAAACAACCAAGCTCAGCGAACCCCAAGGACTCCACAGTTCAACCCTGAGCTACACATATTCACTTCCATTGGTATAGGCTTTGATTATTCCAGACTACAGTAATCCCTTTATGTGCAAAATAGCAGTAAACTAGAGATGGAAAGTTGAACACTGGATGATCCCACCTTTATTCTGTACCATGAAGGAAATAATTTACTAAATGGGGATGATGTATCCAACTGTGAAAACCTATAAGAACCAGCCCAGATACCCTGACCTGCTCATAGTATAAAAGATGGAAGCATGGAGTGGGAAAATCTGAGATTCCCCCAAAAGAGCTTTTTGGAATCTCCCAGTGCCCTCCTATCCACCTGCCTGCTTCTTTTTCTTTCTCTCATCTACTTTTCTTCCTTTCTTGAGTGCCTGCAAATAGAAGTGTGGGTGACCTTGAAGAAGATGTTCTGATAAAGTAGCTAGCAAACAACTGATTGTGCTCCCGTGTTGTTTGGTAAGACTTTGACTGTCTCTGCTCTGCCTATAAGATCCTATATATTTTGTTACATCATTTATTAGCATCCCCATTTCTGAATTTCCCAACCATGCTATTGCTGAGAATTGTAGGAATTGAAATCCACATATCTGGAAACTCATAAGACTGGGAAACCTTGTAATAATCTACTTTTTTGAGGCAAACCATAACAGGATCAAAACAACTTTCCTAAGATGGGGTGAAGCCAGGGTGGGAGGGAATGGGAGGATTCCTTCAATGGTTTCAGAGGATATATGTTTGTAGAAAGCTTGATTTAAAAAACTGCAAAGAAAGGATCTGAAACAACCTTAGAACAATTAAGTGCTAACGTCCTAACATGCTAACAAAATGTAATGGAAGAAAAGAAGCAATACAAATACACGAGAAACAGAAACAGTTAAGAAAAACAGATTACACAAGCATGTCTAAAATCTAAAAAGGAATAGGGTGGTTGCATGCATCTAAATCATTTTGCTATGTCATCAAAGATGGCTTTCCACGGAAGGTCATTTCAGAGTTTATGCAGTTATTGGGCAGACAAGCATATGTTAAATAATTGTTTCTTCCAGAGGATTTTCCCCACCTTACATCTTCTGTAGGAATTGAACTCACACCAAATTCTCCCGCATTCACTCAGACTGTCATCCTACATCTCAGCCGTCCTCAATCTGTTGTGCTCCAAATGTGTTTCGGATTACAGTTCCCAGAATTGTTAACAAACATCTGAAGGGCATTAGATTGGAGAAAACTCTACAATTCCTTGAAAGCAAACCACACAACATTCATCTAAAACTTATTTCTGAACAGAGGACTGTACCAGAAACAGGAGGGTTTGGGTAGAAGCAGGGACTGGAATCTGAGAAATGCATAAAGATAATTGTGTGAATGAAATCCATAGGCATCTTTAAAGAGATGCTATGGGGAAACCTGAACAAACTGAAGATCACCGGGGGGGGGGGGGGAAAAACCCCCCTCAAAAATTATTTTTAATTCCTTGGAGTTCCCATTGCATTAATTGGGGGAAGGGGCACAATCTTTCAACCACACTTTCAAAGAGGTGATTTGGTAGCTTGTAGCTAGAAAGAGCAGCTCTTCCATTTCTCCAGATTTAGCTTGGTTAAAACCTGCACAGTAATTATATTAATCATGCAACTAATGTAATGTCTACCCCTCAACTATGCCCAGGATGGATGTATTGGCCTGTGTTCAACCACTATCAGCTTGATGGATTCTGATAAGTATCAGTATATAATGGGGCACATGATATTTATATAAAAACAACAAAGCCTCATGGTATCTTAAATCCAAGAGGTTTATTATGGCATAAATGTCAGTCAAAATACTTAGATACTTTACAAAATACTTAGATACTTTACAAAAACCTACGCTGTAATAAACGTGTTAGTCTTTTAAGTTTCACAAAAACCTTTGCGCAACTTTTTGTTGAAGATTTGTACAAAGGCTGCAAATGGTGTTTGCATGTTTATGTAGACATCTATTTGGGATGTGTGAATTGTTTATAAAAGGCACTATGTCCTTCTCATCAAAGGATGCAGCAATATGTTTTATCAAAGCAGACACTGTGATATTTTACAATAATATTTTGTACTGATATTAATGTGTTTGTTAGCAAAGCAGTAACTATTCATAAATATAAAACATAGCTTTTTTTTCCTTTTCTTGTTTGCATTTCTAGTACAAGGTGGTCTGTTTTATCATTCTGGTGAATTTTTTTTTCAGTTTAAAGATTGTTTTGTTAACTGTACGTATACAATTTTTAGGAAAAGAAAAAATAAAATAAATGTCCATAAAACTGGGGGAAAGGGCATATACTGGAGATATTTTTCCATCTCTGTTCAGCTTTTAACTTCTCTGTTGGTGGAAAACCTGGAACCTGACAAGAAACTCCTGTAGCTGTGTTAATCTGATGCATCAAAAACACAAAGGATTCTTGATATACTTTTAACAAACACATTATAGCATAAATGTTTGTGGAAGTTAAAGGAATTTATTTAACAGGGAAAACACCAGGGTTGTAGGTCACCCCCCCCCCCAAAAAAAACAACTATCCTTAATATGAATTGTTGGAGGTGCCTATGACAAAAGCTTCCATCTGTTTCTCTTCTAAGTCATACATTGTGCTAAAAGCTGGGAACATTCAGCCACATGTTCTCAACCTTGAATGAAATTCTTCCATGCTTTCTCTTCAGGGATCTCCCCTTTCAAACCTTCCATCCATTTCCCATCTCAGAATGTGAAATCAGAATTATCTATTGCTTTGCCTAAGGAATAAGGAATTGATCTGGGGCTTGGGGACTTGGATAAGCCAATCTCTCTTCCAAAATCCCACCTCTAAGGAGGGTCGCACATATTCAGCCTGTGTTTTTAGCCATGCATAATAAATTGAGGAACCAACATGCCCTGGATGAAGTCATTCTATGCTCGTGGCTCTGATTCATACTCCCCAGAATATTTTGTTTCACACTGAAAAATGGACATCAAGGACTGGGGAGTTTTCTAAAGTGCAAGGCCTTCTCCTCAATTCTGACCCCTGAAACCATCTGGCTTATTTGGGTCAGGGTCCTAGATCTGGATCAGCTACCAGTCCTAAGCTGATATTCTAAAACTATGATCTGTAGGCTATTCAGCAAGTTCTCCAAAACAAATACATGACTGGAGCATAGGCTGTGCCTTCAGAAGATCCCATGTACTACTCTCAGCATCTCTAACAAGGGCCAGCTAACAGAAAATAGTGTTCTTTTGGAAATCCTACCAAATAATTTAACCCTGTCTATATGATCAAAATGTAGATCTCTAATGCTTCCTGAAAGTTACCCGGAATTCTACTGGCAGATCTGATCTACTCTGTGACCACTCCTGTTTTCCAAGACACAAAACAGAGGACTTCTTGGGAATCTAATTATTGTTTTGTCTCTATGTTTAATTTATTTGAATCTTTAGAGCAGCTATGTTCTGGTTCATATATCCTTCTCTTTCTCTCTGGTATTTCTCAGCAGTGGCCTTCATCCAGGTCCTCCCAGGTAGTAATGCATTGGTACTACCACCCACAAAACCCATAGTTTCCTTTCCCACACTGTAGAAGGGAAAAAGTTCAAGCTTTGTATCTTACCAAACTGCAACAATCATTGTCAGCATCATCGCACTGCATAATGAAAGTTAAATGCACAGCCCTTCTGAAGGAGCAGCATGTGACTTCACGAGGACAGATGATCAGACACTGATTACAAGGGAGTTCCCCAACTTCTCTAATATCTGCTTCCTCACATTTCAGCTCACCCAGAAAGGGAAAAGTAATAAGATAGCATTCAACACTGGGGTGGTTACTTAACTCTTTTAATAAAAGCAGAGAAATAGTATTGAAAGGTTATGCTAGGATACAGGGAGGAACCTGCAACTGAATTTCAATTTTTTATTTTTTTTTTGAAAAAGCAGCTTGTT